TTTCACAGTGAAAAATCACCTGCTTGTTTCAGGGGAAAATAAGAGGCAGTGTGGAACATGTCGTCAGATTGGAGAGGGAGATTCCTCAGAGACCTGTGGCCTAATTTCTTATTTTCAAGAGGAAACTTATCTAATTATATATAAGTTAACTTCCTAGTGGTCGATTCAAGGGCAGCACTGACTGGTATGAATGAGCAGCCTTAAAAGAAACAAGGCTACCACATCCTGTTTTCTCTTTCTTGTCTTTTAGCACTCATATCTCTCCACTGGTGTATCACACACACACACACACAATGCACAACACAACAGTAACTTGACCAAAATGTTGCTTTGTTGTGGATGTGTGTGTGTATCTCTGTGGAGAAAAAAGCAAATATACTTACGTACTGGCATTTTTCCTTGTATGATGCAGAATATTTCAGCAAGGCGCTTTAAACTGTAGTGAAAAAAACACACATTACATTCGACGTACTGTGGCATTCTGATGAACATGGTTGCGACACATTTCCTGTCTGCTCCTCCTTCAAAACAACATCTCTGTGCAGCAGGTAGGAAACTCAAATTACACATTAATGACAGTGAGGCATCACTATGTTTAATATCCTTTGACTCTATGAGAAAATGTGTGTGTGATAGTGAAGGCTCTGTGAGAGAAAGTGCCAGTATTCAATGTGATAACAACAAAGCTAAACAGAACAATAACATGTCCACCAAACATCAGGGTTGGGGAGTAATGGATTACATGCAGCTAAGTTACGTAATCAGGATACCAAAAAAAAGGTAACTGTAATTATAGTTACGGAATAAAAGACGTGACCAGATTACGGTTACATTTAGTAAACATGGGGATTATTTAGCAGGATTACAATTTTAAATCAGTTTTTCTTTAAAATAAATTTTTTTTATGCTAAAAGTCTTTCATTTTTTTCTGTTTCCATCTTTGTTTGTTGTTTTGTTGTCCAATAGATATACTTGAATTAATACTTCTTATTGATATTTCTTTTCTCTTGTTTTTATTTACATATTTTGTGTTCCAAAAAGTAACGGAAAGTAATCCAGTTACTTCAATATTGTGATACTTGGATTAAGTTAAGTTACCAAAATAATGGCTTTAAACAGAAGGAATTTTATGTTATTCATCTCACACAGTACGACATTGTGAGCATCCTGCTGCATATGCGAGTAAAGATTTGTGAAAAATTGCTTATTAGTGAGTGACTGAGGTTGGCAAAATGAATGGATTCGCTAAGCGTTGATGCTAATTATCATTAGAAGATAACAGTATACAAAAGATTCAGGTGGCAGCTTCTCATTTTTAACTTTGACGGTTAAAAATGACAAACATCACTGGCAGTTAATGCTGCGAGTAACTTGATTTCACACCAAAATCTGTTGTTAAAGTGTAAAAGAAGCTTCACTCTGTAACACCACTGTGCAACTGGAAATGGACTGATAATTGAATGATGAATATACCAACATTAAAGGACTCGGACCGGTTCCCTAGTAACTACAGTGGTTTTGTGTTGGGTTCTGAGCAGTGTTGAGCTAATGACTCAAAAGATTTAATTTATTACTCATTACTCTTTTCAAAAGTAATGGTATTACTTTAGTTATTACTCCCTTACAACAGTAATTAAATGGTAATTGTGCCCCTTCTCGCCATAATTCAAATTAAAATCTAGTTTTGTTTGTTAAAATCAGAGTAATGGGAATATTTACAGCTGCTGAATGTAAACTTTTCCATCTTCCAAACTAGTTTCTTCCACGATTACAAAAATGAATCCAAGGATTTAATTGGATTTTTAGTAGAATTTGTAGAGGGGTGCCAAAAAAAGTAAAGTTGTAACTAATTTTTCTGGGGAAAGGGGTTTATTATTACTAGTAATGAGTTACTGACCAACGCTTGGATACGTCCTGTACACAGACAGAGGACTGAAGATAATGGCTCTGTGACGCTGTAGTACTTTGGCACAGCAGTGCTTTGAGCTAAATGCTAGCATGCTACCATACTGATGCTTAGCAGGCATAATGTTCACTATATTAGTGTCAGCATGCAAACATTAACTGACCCTAAACACAAAGTACAGCTGAGGCTGATGGGAATGTCATTCGTTTTCAGGTAGTTTGTGACATATTGGACACAAAAAAAGGAGTTTCAATCTGCGACTTCACCGCTACGTGTCACTAAACCCTCCCCACTGCTCCTTTAACGGATGATCAAAGTCGTTAGGATTCCTCCTCTGGGCACAATGAATGTCAGTACATTTGTTGATATATTTCAGACCGGACCAAAGGGGCGGACTGGCCGACAGATCGACATTGCCATCCCTTGAGCCACGCCGCTAGCATGGCTAAAAAAGTCAGGGAAGACGGGAAGGAAGGAAGGAAGGGAGAGACAAACTAACATAAACAGAATCAAACGACAGAGCCAACCAGTTAGTACACACTTGACGACCTTCAGGGCTGACAGTCGGGCAGGTAGAGGGACAGACGCACAGACAGGCGATCAGGCAGCCAATAGAAACAGACAGTGAAACATAAAGGCAGAAGGACTTAAGATCCCATCTCGGCGCAGAGTGCTGCTTTCTCCTTCTCCAAGTTCAGCCCTTAGGCATGGCCCGGTCTGCTTCTCCTGCTCCCTTCCTCCCTCGTCAACGCCATATGGACAGAGCAGCCTACACTCCACTATATCTCCTCAAACACAACCTCTAAGTTCTCCCCCCCTCTCTTCCATCCTCGCTCAACAGACGATGTACATATTTTGTCTTGTTAAAAGTCATTTCCCCCGCTGTCTGTGTGGCTTTGTGAGAACAGTGACTAGTCGGCAATGAGGGGTAATCCTTCTTAATGGAGTCCCCAACCCTCAGAAGGATTGAAGTCCACGCAGCGTACAGATCACATAAGGACACATTTTATTGCTTTGACAAAAAGGGATGAAACCTTTATTGTATTTTGAAGTGCTAACTACCCCCCCCCTCCCACTCTGTCATTTGTACCCACTCCCTATCTGTCTTTCACTGTCTCTTCTTTTCTGTCTTTCTTCTGTCTGCCTGTCTTCAAGAGCGTTTCATCCTGACCAGTCTGGGATTTTATCACGCTTGCTTTGGTCATTACATCACAATTATGGAGCTGTTGGTACAGGAGAAATAAGAGATGGAGTAAAAAAAAAAAAAAAAAAAGGAAGAGTGGAAAAAAGCGACAGATGAAATGTAGGTCAGTGGAGATGTGCTCGGGGCAGTTTCTCTCTCCGTTTCTCTCTGTGTCTCTCTCTCCCTGGGCCACAGCTAAAGAGGCTAAAAGAGACCGGGGGTGAAAGTGCCTCTCACCCACACCTGCCTCTCTCTCTCTCTCTCTCTCTCTCCTACCTCACACAGACGGACAGAAGCTCCGTCAGTGTTCTCTCCCTCTCAGAGAACCACTCTAATGACAGACGTTGAACGCTGGGGAGTGACACTAACCGTGAGTGACAGGAGTGGCTCTTTTCAGCAACCGAGAGGACAGAAAATCACTTCATGACATGATCAGTTTTTACATTTTGTTAATATTTCACCGCATTAAAGGTCACCAGGAGTCGGTCCTGGGTCAAAGAAGTCCTGGAGTTTCCTTCTGCTAGTGCGCTGTAATGAGACAGGAATACTTGTGGTCCCTGTTTAACCTTGAAAAAGACCATTGGCTCTCTTGAGGATGTTCATAGATCTCATATTCTGGTGCACATATTACATCATTTTCTCCTGTAACTGCCCATCAGAAGGTGAAGCAACACCTTTCTTAACACTGTCAGATTATGAGTTATAATATATTTAAAATAAGACATTAAAGAGACAATCCATCCAACCTTATAGTTTTGATACTGCATTTATTTCAACACCCTGCAGCCTCCACTGGGTCACTCATTGTACAGTACAGTGATCATGAACCTACTCTTTCAGTTTCTCAGAGGAAGGAGAGGACCCCACCCTGAAAGTCATCCTGGGGACACCTGAGACAACTCGTGTCATCTGAGCTGCTCTTCTTTCTATGACATAAGATCTATGAACCCTTATAGATATAGGACACATGTGATATGTTTTTATTATCGTTACAATACATACTTACAAAGTAGTGTATTGGCATTTAGTTACAAGTCAGCATGAGACAATCAGTTGTTGTGGCATCCAAGTATCCGTTCACATTTTTGTGAAGTGTGAAAGCTTCATCAGGTAAATAAATAAAAAATATATTTAGTTCAAATTCAACATGAACTCAATTATGTGTCTAGTTTTACATACTGAGTTTATAATGAACCACATTCACAAGTTTTTCAAAAATCTTTTCTGATCTTTTTACTTCAGACAATGTGGTCGTCTATTTGCAATAGTGTTATAATATTTCCTTGCTTGTCTGCATCAGTGTAAAGTCTTTTATTAGCATTTTTATTTACAAATCATGCAAATATTTGAACCACAAGCAGTCACACTTTGCACAAGTGACATTAACTCATGCAATCAAATGTAGTCCTTAAAGCTTGTCTTCAGTTTGAAACTATTTGACTGTAAATTCATTTGGTTCCATCAGTGCTGAGTCTACTGATCAGTTTTTTTGTTATTTATTTATTTTTTACAAACTGCTACATGTTTCTGTGATATTCTTGAAATAAATGAAACTGGACGGAGACCAAGAGGAATAAATAATCTCCTCACACTAGGCAGAATGTTAGATTTCAGCAGCCTCCTGGATATGAGACCGGATTAAAGATGGATTCTTTTTTTTTTTTTTTTTCTGAGCATGCATGAAAATAGCCTAAATTGCAGGGAGCTGACTAAATGTGGAAGGTGACATTAAAACTTTGCTGTGGCTGTGTCTGTAGCGGCAGAGTGCGCTCAGGCTATGTGTGTGGTGTGTGTGTGTGTGTGTGCAGGCTCCGGGCTGGAGGCTGAGCAGGAGAGAGAGAGTGGGAGGAGCGGAAAGTGCTCCAGTCCAATCGGGGCCGTCGGGTAAAGCCTCTCCTATACGCTCTTCCCTCCCTCAGCCCACAGAAAACAGTGAAACCCTCCCATAGAGGTGAGAGCGCAGATGTCATGAGAAAAGCGACCACACGACCAGAGCGCAACGACCGACGCACCGACCGACCTCAGCCCGCCTCCATGCGCCCTGGTCTGGGATGCTTTTAGCGCAGAGACGCCTCCACTCAGGGCATCCAGTGGACGTCGACGCAGATCATCTACACTCTTTTCGTTGTTGTTGTTATTTTTAACCGAGGATCTTTCCCCCAGCAACCTCCCCACAATCCTCCCTCCCCCTCTTTTTTAAGTGTTTATGTTTGTTTCTTCATGACTGCTGCTTTGGGAAGCGAGCCTCAGCCTCAGCTCCAGCAACGCCAACATGCGAGGTAAGATACATCCCACTGCTCCAAAACACCGCCGCACTTTCCCCCAAGCTTCATCCCCGCTAAACACACACACACACACACACACACACACACACACACACACACACACACACACACACACATAGCACGCCAGGGTTTATCCCGAATTTGGCCTTGAAAGTTAATTCTGGGAGTTTTTAGCCTGCAAAGCGGGGTTTGACACTTTTTCACAGCCGGGCGGAGAGTGTGCGACTGGATCTCACAGCACCGTACACTGTAAATGCGTAAAAGTTTATATAGATCTCTCTCTCTCTGTGTGTATGTATGTGTGTGTTTTGAGTCATAGTGTGTGTGTGTGTGTGTGTGTGTGTGTGTGTGTGTGTGTGTGTGTGTGTGTGTGTGTGTGGAATAGGCCTGCAGTTTTGCAAATTCATGCGCAAAGCCAGTGGAGTCTGTGATTGCAAATTAAAAGTGGCGCATGATGTTTGATTAAAGCTTTAATCGTTTGAGCTCAACGGAAACTGCGGATAGGCTGGCACCGGATCAGATCTGATCAGATCTGATGATGGATAGAAAATAGAGAGGAAGCGGTGGAAGGGGGGGGTTTATACAATTCGGTTATGTTCTGGTGATAAACTTTATTGAATGTTTCAGGCGCTCCACTAACCCATTTGTGTAACGCTCTGCACCGAGCCGGGGATGTTGAAATTCAACGTCAATGTTGCCACACACTCTCTCTCTCTCTCTCTCTCTCTCTCTCTCTCTCTCTCCTCACACACACACACACACACACACACACACACACACAGGTTAACACAGTTCTATTTCCACTCTCACTAAGCCTTTGCTGTTTTGTTTAAATTCCCTTTAAATCACAAAATGCGTTGTTGTTGGGGTTTTTTTTCTCTCGTTTCTCTTCAGTCAGTATTTGCACTTTATCGGCCGCGATGAGTCAAACACAATTTATTTTAATATCTAACCGGATTATTATCAGTTTAAATGTGTTGGGTTTTTTTTATTAATTGCACGCTTTGCAATTATCGGTGACGCAAAGTTGCAGCACTCGTTCAACTAGATGATCTCGAACTTTTCGACTGGCGGAAGCTCATGTTTGACATTTAAAGTAATTAAACATCTTCAGCAGGTCGGAGAGAGAAATGATCGGAGAATGTTCGACTCTCAAAGGTCAAAACTTAAACACGTAAAACGTTCAAGTTCAGCAGCAATAAAGTGAGGGGGAACTAAAATACAGCATCTTCTTCTAAATTGTCACAGAGCTGTGGCCTTATTCTAATCAGGTGTTTGTGTATCAGAGGGACAGTATTATTAGATTATTGTTAACATTATTATCAACATGATTATTAATTGTCATGATAAACCAGAATAATTTTAACCAACAATACTGTTTAATGGGATAAAGTAACTTGATTTTAATCCAGTTTTTACTTGAAATAAATGAATAACTATATCATACTTATCTATCTATCTATCTATCTATCTATCTATCTATCTATCTATCTATCTATGGTTTAATGTCATATAAAGCTCTCTGCTACCTCAGCTTCAGGCCATCAAACCTCAGGCAAAAAAAAAACATGAGAAGGCCAAACACCCCCTGCCTCTTCCTCTCTCTCTCTCTCTCTCTCTCTCTCTCTCTCCCTCTTTCTCTCCCTTTCTATCTCTCTTATCCCATGGCAAACTCCTCTGTCATGCACCTTGTATTTTATCCACATTTTAATGGGCCTCGCGACCACTCTCGTGCATGGGAGGCTTTGGGGGGTATACCGAAAGCTCCTGCTTTCACTTTATAGCCGTGGTTGGCAGAAGAGGCCCCTGAAGCGTCTCTCTCACCCCTCTTTCTCCATGTCTCTCTTTCTCCCTCTCTCTCTCCATCTTCCTCTCTCCCTCTGCACGCCCCAAAGGGTTTTGTCAGATAGAATTAAATCAGTGTGGGCCGTGCGGCCCCCACTCTCAACCTGTGTGTGTGTGTGTATGTGTGTGGAGTCTCGGCTGCCCTTACACAGAAATGTGCTCACAATCACAAGGTTATAAAAAATAGAGGCCCCTCATGAGCCGTGGTAATTATCATTTAACAATAGCCACAACTCCTGAAGCCCTGACCGTAGATGATGTCACCCATCGCGTGGTCAGAGAAATAACAGACAGAATATCATCAGGGCCTTTTCTGCATCTCAGAAAATGGAGCATTGTGGGGCTTTTTCCCCCCGATATGGCTTAGTGTTGTGTAGGATGTTGTAAACAGGATAATTATTGCTGTATTTTTAACAGCAGCATGATGATGCTGTGCTGTGAATGGTGTTCATCTAAAACCCAACAAAGAAGTTGTGTAATAAAAATGACCTCAGTAACAATGTTGTTATATTATATTCTATATTTTTGTGTTGGAAAAAGTTTTGGTGATAGCAAAGTTTTATTTTTATTTTTTTAAGAAATAGCCCTTTATAACAAACAACCGTAAATGGGCCAAAAAATAACAAAAAGATAACACAAAACAAAAATGATTTAATTGTTTGTAGTTGATTTTTGATTTGATTATACCTACATTTAATCACTGGATTTAAAAGTTAGATAAGTCTTAAAAAAAAAGTCAAATTTATCCAGAAATAAGTTTGGTTATTCAAAGCAAATCAGAGCCAATCATCCTCCAACCAAATGTTTTAGTTTGTTATAATCAATATAAGCACTAAAATGTCTGCTTAACAACTAAAGGCATGTACACACAAAGCATAGAAACTTTTACATAAACTACACAAACATAAACTGACATTGTAGACCGATGTATTCTGCATGTCAGTAGTTTCTTTTTTGTCCACAGTAAGCCTTTATATTGGTCCCCATTAGCCTGTGTCTGCGTACACTTTGTATCACTGCTATAAGCCTAAGAGCTTTTACACGACGTATAGGCACCCGGGTCAGCCAGGTCAAAGAGTTCAGCGACGGAGGGAGCAACAGGGGAGGACAGGTTCACGGCGCCATTTGATCTCCTCTGTTAGCGATATGTGTCAATCACAATCTCCCAGGCTCCTTCACCATGGGGGGAAAGACAAGATGACACAAACTGGGAGAGTGTGAAAGAGCAATAAGACCAGGGAGGTGATGACAAGCGGTGTCAAAAGAAGAGGGCTTAAAAACTCACTAGTGGCTATTTCATTTCCGTCATCATTTATGTTAGCTTGCAGGACGGCATGGGCTCACATAGGAACACAGAAGGCACTGAAAACGCGCACACACACACACACACACACACACACACACAGCTGCAATACTACGCATGACGGCCTCATGCCAATAGAATTAGCCCCATCCTGCTTTGCTTTGGAGGCTTGTGTGAGCATTGATTTGTCCGATTCTAAAGCATCCCGGGATCAATTTTTAGTCAAAGCCAACGGAAGCAGTCTGTTTAGATAAATCTATGGTTTTACTTCACATTTAGTGTTATTAGATCCATAAACAACAATTCTAAATATGTATTTGTTCATTTATTGTCAGTGTTTTTCTGTTGTAATGTTTATTCCTATTATTTGTTACATGTATGAAATTGATCAATGTTTCCGTAATATATTGGCTTGGCTTTCTTTACCCCCCCCCCCATTTAGCATTTACATGCATGCAGACATTGAATCATTGAATACATGGTTTATAACACGCACATTATAGCGTGTTGTAAGCAGACATAACTGTGTATTAATGTGTTTGTTATCAACTGTAACTCCTACTGTGGACACACATAAGTGGATTCTGGAATATAAACTGATAATGAATGGAGAATATAGTAAAACACAGCTTCAAATGATAAGTTGACAAATGCTGTACATTAATAAACCCTTACAAATGTCCTTATGCCAGCTTACTGCATTATAGTGTGTTATAAGATATTTATTAAATGTTTGTAGTGCTTTAAAAGCTAAATAGGGGGTTAAAGTCAAGTGTTATGTTAAGATATCAATGAGAGAAACACATAAAGTGTAACAGTTTGCTCCAAAAGATTACAAATCTTTAACAGGGGGGTTTGTATGAGCCTGTATTAGCAAAAGTTGGCTAAGAGCACCAACAATGAACAACCACACCATAATATGAACTGACATACTTCATATAAATTGGTGAGGGAGCCTGTCTGGGAAGCAGCAGCAGCATCCTCAGTCAGGAACAGCAGGTTAGTGCACAGGTTGTGTCACTAAATCACTGCTTCTCATTGTTGCCGTGAAATCACTTATAGCGCACAATAGTGGGCACCTGGCCCGAGTGAATCTGTGGTTCGCAGTGTTATCATGGTCTGTGTGGTCCGCCGTCGAGCTCTGTGTTGATTGTGTTGTTTATTGTGTGTTTGTGCTGAGTAATGGCCCAGTGTTATGTAAGAAGAGAGGAGAGATTACCCCAAGCCCATGCAGGCCACACTGTTAATCCCTCAACACAGCCCTACTGACTGACTGAGGTACCGCCAGAGTGCTGTTACAACACACACACACACACACACACACACACACACACACACACACACACACACACACACACAGCTTACATTCACTTCCTACAGTCTGTGCACCTGTCTTCAGATACCCACAGTCTACTCCTCACCCAGCGTGTCTGCCTGACCTTTTTTCTGTCCGTCTACTAAAAACATCCCACCATGCTGTGTGTGTGTGTCTGTGTGTGTGTGTGTGTGGCCTGAATGGCACTTCTGTGGTCCCACTGAGCCGCTATCATAGCCCCTGTTTGTTTAGCATGTGCTCAGCGTACACTCCATGTTGGTTTTATCCCTCCGCGGCTGTCTGGGGGAGTCTAGGCGAATAGTTTTTCTCCTCAGTCAATTCTCTCTCCCTTTTTAAAAAAAATCTTTATACACACGAAGCGTGGGCTACACGGCACGCTTCGGTTTGTGTCTCCACTTTATCTTAGCCAGGAGGGATTTCAGCCTGAACCACTCCTAAACTCTAAATCTGCCTTGAAGTCATAGAGTCCTCTGACAGCTCCTTCTGTTTTGTCAGTTTTACTCATCCATG